GTCTCCATGGAAGGTAGCTTTGATTTGGACGCTGCCCCTGCTAACCCTCCTCCTTTTGGGGGCCATCTACGTGGGCTGGAGAGACCACAAAGCCAACAAGAGAGAAATAAAGGAAAAGGAAAAAGAATCCAACAGAACCGATCAGATTAAGAAGGACATGGAACTCGCGCAGCAGACCGAAGGTAGACGCTGGGGCAGCAGGGCAAAGCAGAGGTGTGCAAAGAAAGGGGGGCTATGGGGTGCAAAGGGAGTCAAAGCTGCTAAAGGGCTCCGGGAAGCCCCGGGTTCCAAGCATCCCACAGAGCTGAGAGTCCGGTGCAGAGGAGCGTAGAGGATCAGTGACATGTGGGCATCAGGTCTGTGAAGTGCAGTTCCTCAACCCACCCCCATACTTCCACTCCCCCCTCTTCTGGACCCTGAACTTTTGAGTCCTTCCAGCCTGCTGCTGCTGGGCCCCCCAAACTACCCTGTCTTCCTATTCATCCCTCAAGAACCAGCTTGAGACAGTCCCAAACTCCCACAAAGCATAGACAATCCTTCCTTCTTGGCTCCATGACACCTTGTCAGTTGAGCATGGACACATGCCCACTAATCCCAGTCTTCTTAATTACGGGGCCCATAAAGGAAGGCCAAACCTACTCGTTTAGTTACTCCCCAAGCTTGGGGTGGTGAGCACCCACTTTGATGGATGTTTACATCTTCCCCTTCTTTCAGATGAACTCAAGGCGGACCTTGGTGAGTCTTGCTTCTTCTCGCACTTTGCAGAGTTTGTTCCCCTGTTTCCCAGGGCTCTGGGTCACTCACTGAATGTCTTTTCTTTCAGAACAGCGAAAGGCACTATACAAAGAAGGTAAGAGCCTGGGGTTCTTACACACCCTGCTCTCTAGCCATGATAAACACTGTGACCTAAAAGCAATTTCAGGAGGAGATTTATTTCAGCTGAGGTCATAGTTCATCACTTGAGGGCTGACACTCAAGAGCAGAGGCAGGAGCCAAGACAGAGCAAAGCTGACCCAGGCCTTGTGTTCAGCTGCTTTTCTTATACAACTCAGGACCACCTGCCCAGGGTTGGCACCACCCACATCAGTCAACAATCAAGGCAATACACACACACACACACACACACACACACACACA